GTATTGTATGAATGTATTTATTTGTATGAATGTAGAGTTTGAAAGTGTAAATAGAATATAGACTTAGCTGGGGGCTGAAGTGACCTAGATGTCGGAAGCCCCAGTCAAAAAAAAAAAAATTATAAAATATTGTAAGATGGTTTCGTTTCCTCGACAAGCAACGGGTAGTTATGCGTTAAACCCTCACATGCGACAGGAATTAATTTACTTACTAAATTTCGTTCAATATTTTTTAATACAAAATTGAAATTTTTCGTGAATTATTTAACATTTTCCTACAATTATAAAACAGGCTTCAATAGAGACATGATTGAAGAACGAGTTCAAACAAACAGACTTTTTAAAAAAGGCGCTTTAAGGACGAGGACAAAAAGCGTTTTATCGAGGATAAACGAGAATTTACAGGGCAAGGTCTAGCTTTCAGCAACAGTGCTTTAACTCTTATTAATGAGCGAATTCTTACGGCTCAAACAAAATTAAACCAAATTGCCGGTATTCCCTTGTTTTTCCTTCTTTTTTGTTGTTCCGCTAATTTTTATTAATATTTCCAAGATAATGCTAGCTGATTAGCTCTAAGATAAAAAAAAGAGCCAGCCACCGTTATTTATCAAAGATAAATTATTTTGCCAACTGTTAGTGTATGCTATTTAGATATAAACACTGAATATAAGAAAAACAAATTAAAAAATTATTTTGAAATAAAGAAATAAGTAATAACACTTATTTCAATTAATTATACGTTATATCTAACGCCTTGGTTGATACCAAAAGGTTAGTGTCTCGAGCGGGAATCGAACCCACAACCTTAGGCTGATTAAGAATTAGGTCTAAATCCCTCATGACTGGGGTTCTAGCACAACAAACGCAGAAAATGTCTGAGTGTTAATAGACTTCACTCAACAGATACAATAAATATACAATAAAATGTCAATATAGAATAATAAATCGGGTCCATAGGTATAAAAATAAGAGATAAATAGAAAGAATATACTAGATTGTTCATTTAGAAACAAAGACGTATAACTCAATTGTGCCTCTCACCTTGCAATACAGAAAAGGTACAAAATATTCAACATATACAAAGCAACAAAACAAATGATTATACCTAAAACACTACACAAAATACAAACAATAAAAAAACGCCAAGCTAAATCCGTCAAAAATATCAGTAAATAATGATAAATCTACAACGTATCAACTGGAGTCGACTAATTAAAAATAACGCAAAAATTGAAGTTGGTAAATTGTAATTACGCTTCAAACTGACAAAAGAATAGGCCGATCAGGATTAAAGATAGTTGACGGCCAAATTAAAATTTGCTTTACATTTTGCCCGATTTGATCATTTTTCAAAAATATTACTAGTATATATAAAAGTAAAAATATTACCGTCACATTGTACCATCGAGTAAGCTTTTAAACAATTTTCCAGCCCGTCGAACATTCCCTTAATGAACAAAAACCCTGGATAATTTAATTTTGATACATGCTATTTTCTGGTGGGTGCAACACAGCGCAATATAAAAAATAACGTTTTTATTATAAAAAGCTGCCAATGGAAATTCCTCTCTAAAATGCATTTAACTTACACAATTTTTACAAAACATTTTTCGGTGTCTTATCTTATATACAATATTATCTTCCCCAACCTCCGATCGTGATGCACTATAACGGGACGTAGAGAGCAGTTATCATCGCAATACTACTTTGTCTGAACTACCCTGCGAGGTATGTATGAACAAGGGGGGGGGCATCCTTCTCAGGCGGGCTAAGCCAAAACTGTTGAGTACTGCCAGAAAGGTTCATATCGATGTATGTTGAGCCAATTTGCAGTTATATAATTCTTTCCTCCAGTCTTCCACAAAGCGGAAGGAATCTCCAAAGTCAATCAATACACATAGCTGAAAGACTAAAAATGCATACAAATAAAAACTTTTATAAAACCCTTTTAACAACTTTTAACACCATTTTAACTATCCTTTGTAAAAAGATGGTTCCTACGCACAGTAAATTGTTTCGCAACAATCCGGATTTCGACCCTTTAGCTCATCATCAGGTTGAAGGGTTTCAATTTCAACAACCACGTCTCTCGACAAGAATTGCAAAAGTGAACCCGCTGATACCCCCGCCAACGCGACGTTCCAATTACCAGCTGATTTTTTAATGGCGCTCAATTTGAACGTGCGAAAAACGAAAATTATAATACAAATAAATGTTACAATAGTAAATAATGTTAGAAATTAATATAAAATAGTGATTAAAGATGAAAGATAAAAAAATTAGAATGAATTATTATAAAAAAATATTATAAAAATAATAACAATTAAAATAAGTAATTTAATTATTTGGACGATTAATATTATTTATGTACAGCTTTAAAATGGGAGATAGATCAAAATTTGTTATATTATCAATGCATTTATCACCATGTTCAATTTTACATTTTTTAATTTCAAATTTCTAAAACCAAACTAGTTCTCTCCATTTGTTGAAACTATGTAACAATGTTGTATTTAAATTTGAATTGAAATTATGTTATGTTTCTTTTAGATAGTCCTTAAATTCCGAAAATTTGCTCGATTTAGGCAAGTGTTCTTTTACTCTCGTTTTTATTTCTCTACCGCTTTGACCTGTATATTTAATATTACAATCATTACAATTGAGTTGGTAAACCCCGCTTTTTGCCAAGTTGTCTAATAATTTATTCGTATTTTTTTTACTTTTATCTTTAATCACTAATTTATAATTAATTTCTTACAGTATTTACTATTATAATCGTTATTTGTGTTATAATTCCCGCTTTTCGCACGTTCTAATTGAGCGGGGGTATCAGCGTGTTCACTTTTGCAATTCTTGTCGAGAGACGTGTTTGTAAAAACCCTTCAACCTGATGATGAGCTAAAGGGCTCGAAATCCGGATTGTTGCGAAACAACTTACTGTGAGTAGGAATCTTTTCAAAAAGGATTGAACTCCACTCCATCATTCATCATTTCTACCATTTTAACTATTTTTATGTATATTTATTTACTAATAAAACTTTGCTAGTATAAATAACAATTTATTCAAACAACAATATAACGATTTATCAAGTTAGTTAACAGCGTTTATTTGAAGATCGTGAGAGCGGTCTGGTGGTTTAGAAAAAAATTTTGTTTATCGTGCCAACGATCTTTATTGAGATCATCTTCAGGGCTCAAAGTGTTTGTTTTCAGAGTAGATGTGTCATTATGGTGTGTTGTGTTGAGAATGCCAGTGAGATATTGATCCACTTCATCAAAATCTCACTGGCACTCTCAACACCACACTCAATAATGACACATCTACACAGAAAACAAACACTTTGAGCCCTGAAGATGATCTCAATAAAGATCGAAACGTTGGTATGATAAAGAAAATGTTTTTCTAAACCTAAGACACACCATATCGCATCTCACGATCTCTTGTAATCATCAACTAACGGTCACTAAACACCACACATTCCTTAGTTAAGAGTGTAGGAGAATATTCCATGGCAAGGTTTTTGTTGGTAACTAAGCTGCCACTTTTATATTATACTGATATAAATATACTTAAAGTAATAAAATTTGCAGCCCATGACTTTTTAATGATAATTAATGTGAAAAAGTATTGTAAATTTGTTAAACCCCCGTTTGCTAACACCCAACGGATAGCTGAAATTTAAGCTCTTTGAACGAATTACTTTGCTTTATTCAAGTTATAGGTTTGTGCTTTCCCAACATACTGTTTTTCTTTTAATAATTGAACATAAGAAATAGATTTTTCTGCTTCCGTCTGGCGAAAAAGTAGTTCTAATTTAATGTCGCGTAACTTTGTTATTTTATCTCAAATCAACACGCTCGGACAGAAATCACTTATTCATAATTAATAAATAAATCCATTACATTTCGTGGTCCGATTGGCCAAATAACTTCTTTCAATTAATTATTCTTTATGTAAGGCTTTGGTTGAAATGTAAAAGTTAGTGTCACGAGCGGGATTCGAACCCACGATCTTCGGCTCGATACGGCGTTGCTCTAACCACTTGAGCAATCGTGATTTCGATCCACTCGGACACCAACTCCCATCTCAATCAAACCATGCAAATTTTCCCACCTTTTTGCCATTTTTCAAATGTCGTGTAACCACGATTCGCTTCTCCGCGACTTATGAAGTGGCCACGAAGAGCTTTAGTGAAGATATACTTCGTTTTACTTATTAAATCCATTATATTTCGCGGTTCGATTGGACAAATAACTTCTTTCAATTAATTATTCTTTATGTAAGGCTTTGGTTCAAATGTAAAAGTTAGTGTCACGAGCGGGATTCGAACCCACGACCTTTGGCTCAATAAGCCACTGCTCTAACGACGTGAGCTATCGGACACCAACTTCACATTAATAAATAAAGTTTTATTGATCATAAATTAAAAGAAAAAACAACCGGTATTATTTTTGTTCATTTTATTTATTCGATTTTTTATAGTTTAATGGAAAATAATGTATTTTTACTGTGGCGTCATTTTTAGGAATACATACAAACATGATCATTTTTCTTATGACAAACTTGGTTTTATTATTGTTTTATGTTTTATCATATAAACATATTTCAACTAAATATATTAGTTTTCATTTGCTTTGGTAAATTATATTTTATGGCAGACGAATGGATATTATTGCCCTGTAAAGGCGTAACTCAATTTACCTGAAAGAAAATAAAAGTAAGTTGTTTTTATTACAACAAGAATAGTGAGGGGAATAATCGTCCCTGCTTTGTTTCAAACTTGCAAGGAAAATTAAGGGAGGCGTATATTGTTAGTAGACTGGCGGGTCTGTGAAATTTCTCGGTGGTTTTTCTCTGTGAGAGCGATTCCTTTCTCTAAAGTTTCATCGGTCATCGAAATTGGCTGTGACAGTTCCGCAGACGTTTGTTTATGCAAAACAAACCATATTTCTGTTCAATTGTAAAGAAATGTTTAAGACATTGTTGTTGTGTATTTCAGGCTGAAATTGACATTCTCTTGCATGATGGATCTCTCCAAGTTTCCACTGGACAATCAGATCTGCACAATGGAAGTTGCGAGTTGTGAGTACAATTACATTTTATAAATTTATCTTAGGCATTTCATGTTCTGTCGTACTTCTGACAAACGCACCATTAAGAACTTTAAAAATTGAAACACTTTTTAAAATGAAACAGAGTTCTAAAACTAATGTACTGAAAAGAAAACCGTATGAAAATAGGTGACTTAAAAAGTAACCTAATAAAACTTGTGATAAATTATAGAACATTTTTATAAAAAAAAGATTGAACAAAAGGACAAATATAATTGACGATAAATCTAAAAGAATGCGCTTTTTTCTTCGAGTTTGTACCAATAGACTATATTTACACTGAATTAATTTTTAAGAACGGCCGCAATTGACATTTAAAAATGATTTTTCCACCCGTTATATTTTAAATTATTTAAACGGTCTTAATGAAAATCGACCAAGATAGAATTCGAGACGATGAAACCCTTATTTAAATAAGAATTCCTTTTCGTATCGGATGGAATATTCATGACTTTTGGAAAAATTATAAAAACCTTTTTTTTTTATTGTTCGAAAGTAATTCTCTAATTATAAAGTCCTATTATTCCAGGTTTAATGTTTAAATTATTAAATTAGTATCCGTTAAACTTTTGTACCATACAACTTGTCTTAAATCTTTGGTAAGCTTGCAAAAATTGCCAGAAGTATACTCTCAAAAAAACCGGACTCTAGTGTTTTGTTGTTAATTTCAAACTACATGTAATTTATAATTATATTAAATAAAAATCTATTAAAAACGACATGGATAAGTAAAAAAATATAAAATAAATTAGTTTTAATTAATATAACGATAAAAATACATAGTTTGAAATAAACAACAAAATAAGTGTCTCACGAGGTGACGACCAAGTTGGTGTGACACGGGTTTGAACCAATTTTTTTTGGTGATCCTGCACTCCAAAATATTGTTCACGTTCGCCACTTCTTGTAAAAAGGCACTGGTTTCGACAAAAAAATTTCAAATTTATGTAGTTCGCAATAAAAATATAGTAAAAGCTATAAAAGTTTATCAATAACATAAAAATTTCTAAAAACAAAATATTTGTCGAGTAAACTAGGTTATAACTTTTATTCCGTGAAACTATTGGGTTGTCCGGAAAATAATGCAGGATTTTGGTATTAAACAAAAAAAAGAAACTAGTTACTTTAAAGCAATGTTCTTTAATCAAAATAATTTCCCATACTCTCAATACATTTCTCCCAACGTGTTGGTAACTTTANATCCTGTAAACGTAAACAGAATATTTTATATAGATTTTTTTTAATGAAAACTTAAAATCCTGCATTATTTTCCGGACAACCCGATAATATGAAATTTCGTTTAAGCACCTCTAGAGACCCCCAAACATAAATTTTAGTTCGATTTTAAATTTATAAATTTTTGACCCCTAAATTTTTTTTCGGTTTTTGAGAAGTCGTTATTGGAATATCTGGTGTAAATGGCTACAATTCAAAAACAGCCAAAGCGATTTTAACGTCCATTTGAAAGTCGAGGAACTTAACTTTTCGACGACGTATGCACCATAAAAATATACAAAATATTTCTATAAGAAAACATACAAAATAGGAAAATTATTTGTCAGAAATTAACCTCGTTTTTTAAATGGAAATAATAGCTCAATTTTAATGGTTCGTACTGTTTTAAAATGCACTTGTTAATTTTTTTAAAATAAATTATCACCCATGAAAATCGGTTTTGAGAAAAATTATATTAGAGGTTGCACTAGCAATATCAGTCACGGGACGTCGAAATTAAAAAAAAAAATAATTTACACCGATTTCCACGAATTTCGGTATCTCCAATAAATCCAAGTTTGGGCCATTTTCTGACCTACGTTTCTTACAGAATATTTGTTAAAATATATTTAAAAAAACAGTATTTTGTTGATTTAGTTTTTTAAATTATGACAAATTAGAATATTCTACGTTGTAATAACAACAATGAAATTAATATATCAAAAATACTAATTTTAATTTAAAATAACCATTTATGCACATTTAATTAAATTTACTTTATACATATATTAATGACTGCTTACATTTATAATTTTTTTTGTGTGGTGATTAGCGACCATTAATCGCTAATTATTCAGAAATCGTGAGATGCGTGTGATGTAGGTTTCAGAAAAACATTTTCTTTATCGTACCGACGTTTCGATCTTTATTGAGATCATCTTCAGGGCTCAAAGTGTTTGTCTTCTGTGTAATTGTGCCATTCTTGCGTGTCGTGTTGAGAGTGCCGAAACGTTGGCATGATAAAGAAAATGTATTTCTGAAACCTACATCACACCGGACTGCATCTCTCGATTTCTGAATAATTTATAAATTTTATTGATATTTTAATTTTATTTAATATGAAATTTCGTCTCAGGGTAGTCAGTATCCTAAGGGTTTTATAACTCTACAATTACGTCAATGAGATCAAATCGAATATAGTACAAGCTTTCACTATATTTTTATTGCAATCTTTTAAAAAATACTGTAAAATGATATATTCACATAGTAGATTTGAGCAAGTAGAACGGTGAAAAATATTAAAAAAACGGAAAATTTCAACTTATTTTTTTTTAAAACCAGGTACTACTCACAAGTGGCGGATACGCGTCCAATATTTTATATTGTAGAATCACCAAAAAAGTTTGGTCCAAATCCGTTTCGCACCATCCTGGTCGTCCGCTTGTAAGTTGTTTTTTCTTTCTTGGAGGACATTGAGCACAAAAGATGTTTCTGATTGGTTGATTTTTTTATTCAAAGATAAAACACCATCAGCCAAACACTACAACTGAAGCCAATATTAATAAAACAATATATACAATAAGGGAATTGATCAGAAATTGTGAAATAGCAGAAATTAATTTTGGACGTTTCTTATTATTTTGAAAATAGACCAAATTTTTTTTTTGACCCATCCATATTTTAGGGCAAATTATAGATTAATTTTATTAATCTATAATTTATTAATTTTTTATAGACTAATTAATTAATTATTTTTTATTAATCTAATTAATTTTAAATTTTCACTCATATGTAAATAAATAAATAAAAATGGTTACTTGGAGATCGTGGGATGGTCTGGTGTGTCGTAGGTTTTAGAAAAACATCTTCTTTATCCTGCACACGTTTCGATCTTTATTGAGATAATCTTCAAGGCCTCGGATTTATAAAAATTGTTTAAATTATACAAATACGTATAAAATATTAATATGAATTTGTACAATGAACTATATAATATAGAACCATCAGTTATAATCAAAGTATTTGTACTCACTCGAAGTGTATGTTTTCTGTGTTGTGTTGAGAGTGTTAGTGAGAATTCAATATTTTTTCGCGTAAATGAGTGGGGAAGAAAGTGAAAAAATAATAAAAATTTGCAAATGCATATTGCGACATGGTTGTACAAAACTTTCCAGAAGCCTTCTGCTTTTAGTTGCAGTGAAATGGGTACTGAAAATAAGCACAGATGGAAACAGTACTAAATATTATTGAAAACTGGGCTAACAGTCACAAAACCAAATTTAACCCAGAGAAGTCAAATGCTGTGCCCATGTTTGAGTCCGTTTCAGCATACTCGAACTACAAAAAGTTGGAAATGGTATAAATCATTAAGAATTTTGGGGTTAATAATAAAAAAAGTTAGCTCGAATGAGCATTTGCTCAAACTTGAACAAATTGCGAAAAAAGCTGGCAAATAATCAACATACTTTCTAGAGTGGCAAAGGTCATTGGGGTCTGGGGAGTGTGGCCTTAAACCAATTTTCAAAAGAGCATTTCTGCGTCTTATGCTATAATCCAATCTCACTTTGGCGTCGGGTCTGAAACCAAAACAAAAATAGGAAAACATAGAACGGGTCCAAAGGCTAACCTTATTGCTACTCTTAAAGGGGTATAGGACAGTCTCATATTCGGCTCCTTGTATGCTGGAATAAAACCAATCCTACTGCATGCTGAAGAAAAACCCCCTCAATAAAATAAAAGACGGCAAAGATGTAGAATATCTAATCGGACTTGACATCCCAATAATAAAATTAAAAAAAAATCAAAAGTGTCACCAACCTATCACGATATATTTGCAAATGTTCCCGCCGGCAAGAGGTGTAAAAAAAGAATGAAAGGGAGAAATATGAGAGGAGCTGATATACTATCCTTTCGAACGGAGAGTTTTGGACGCAACTGGAAGATTTGAAAAAGAAGAAAAGAAAATCCATCAAGATTTACCATCTAGGCTAAGGGGTTAATTATTAATTTACAAACATTGTTTAAATTTAACAAATACATGTAGGATGTGAAATAAAATGAATTTATACAATGCAAAAAACATTTTTTATATTCAATCAATGAATTTTTACTCACGCAAAGTGTTTGTTTTCTGAGTAGAAATACTTGGAATATAAAAAATATTTTTGCATTGTATAAATTCACTTTTTTTCACACCCTATATGTATTTGTTAAATTTAAACAATGTTTGTAAATCCCAGGCCCTGAAGATGATGTCAATAAAGATCGAAACGTTGGCACGATAAAGAAAATATTTTTCTGAAACCTACATCACGCCAGACCGTATCTCACAATTTCCTAATAATCATCGACTTACGGTCAGTAATCACCACACAGAAATTTATTTCATCAAAACGAAAATCCTTCAACACCTTTTTTAACAAAAATCAATCTTCCAATTATAAGTAAAACTACGTCGTTATGAAAAGCTAAAAAATAATGATAATAATAATTATTGGGTTGTCCGGAAAATAATGCAGGATTTTGGTATTAAACAAAAAAAAAGAAACTAGTTACTTTAAAGCAATGTTCTTTAATCAAAATAATTTCCCATACNTTCATACAAATGAGTAATCCTGTAAACGTAAACAGAATATTTTATATAGATTTTTTTTAATGAAAACTTAAAATCCTGCATTATTTTCCGGACAACCCAATAAATAGAATAAAGTAAAAAATCCTAGAACAAGCTACGCTTTGAAAAGTAAATATGTTTACATAACCAATCAATGGAAAAAATATTTCTTTAAATTAAAACGTATTCCACTTGAAATGAGAGATTGCTATATTATTTGGAAAATACAACATCTAGGGGTCTTGAATGTAATAAAATAGACATTTAGAATAATTATGTTACTTTGGTTTTCGTTTATGATAACATTTTTTGATGATTGGCTTTGAGCAGGACTCTCATATCAAAATTTTTATCCGGAGTCTGTTGGATTTTGGTAAGTTGGTCATTGTAGCCAGAGTTGGGCAAAATCTAACTAATTCAATCATGATTAAACTTCAATAAAAAATCTTAATCATGATTGAATTAGTTAGATTTTGTCATACCTCATGATTGAATTAATCATGACTAAATCATATAATTATTAATTTACTCATGACTAATTCAATCATGATTAAACTTCAATCAAAATTCTTAATTATGATTGAATTATCTAGATTTTGCCCAACTCCGAGTGTATAAACTTTCAGCCTAATCCCACATACAGGAAATAATATGGTATATAAAATATGACACTATAGTGAGCGCAAAAAATAAAGAATTCTTCCACCACTTCTTATTGATGATAACCCCATACTTGAGACTCCTAACACAATAAAACCCTGGAGGAGGAATTAAAAACATTAAACTTAGGTTTTGTATGAACATGCATTTTATTAAGAAACCGTTCCAGGTTGTATTCAGTCAAGTTCACCAGTATAATTTTTATGGGCAAAATGAGTATTTCTTGCCTTGTGTTATTATGGAATATTATATTACGTTACAGCTATGTCATGGTCGTTGATATAGTTAAACTAAATAAATACTTATTATACCAGTTAAATAAATAATTATAACATAAACTAGTAATAACAATAGTTTGGTGTAATTTTAATCACGCGATTATTGCCCATTAAGCAACTTTTAATAGTACAAAATTATATAGCATTAATTGATTTATATGATCAAATATGCTCTATTGCGTGTCTTTGACTATAGGCCGATTATCGCCTTTTAACACTACGTAATTACCGATTAAATTGGATTTATCGAACCCCTCGACCCGTCGAGCTAAGTCAGGGTTGTCTTCGTAATTTCCAATTAATCCTCCTCTGTATATGTCATTTTCTATTATAATTCACGGTCAGGCCCAGACAAAAGCTGTTTATGAAGGAAAGCCCCATTGTATCGCGGAAGGTCTGTTTAACTCATTTTTATCGCGAAATTTGTTTTATTGCACGTCACATCGGAAATAACTGCAATAATTTTTTTAAAATTCAAATAAATTAACGCGAGACTGTTCGACTTTGAAATTCTTGTCGCTTTTGCATTAGCTTTGATTTCGATTTCATTATAATATAAACAATATCCTACAATTAATTAAGGTTTTTTGTTGAGATAAAAAAGTCAATGGCACGAGCGGGATTCGAACCCACGATCTTCGGCTTGATACGCCGCTGCTCTACCACTTGAGCTATCGTGACCTCGTTCCACTCGGACACTAACTTCCCATCTCAACCTCACCTTTTGAATTTTCCCTCCTTTTTGCCATTTTTCAAAGTCGTGTAATCTATTTGATTCTCGGCGACAAATGAAATGGCCACGGAGAGAGTTAGTGAAGGTATACGTCATTTTAAACTTATCACATTCACTAGTAACGTGGTCCGCTTGACCAAGTAATATCTTACAATTAATTAAAGTTTTAAATTGAGATAAAAAAAGTCAATGACACGAGCGGGATTCGAACCCACGATCTTCGGAGAGATACGCCGCTGCTCTACCACTTGAGCTATCGTGACCTCGATCCACCCGGACACCAACTTCCCATCTCAACCCCACCTTTTGAATTTTCCCTCCTTTTTGCCATTTTTCAATTCGAATCCCGCTCGTGCCATTGACTTTTTTATCTCAACTTAAAACCTTAATTAATTGTAAGATATTACTTGGTTAAGCGGACCACGAAACTAGTGAATGTTAAAAAAATATATTACAATTAATTAAGGTTTTTAGTTGAGATAAAAAAAAGTCAATGGCACTAGCGGGATTCGAACCCACGATCTTCGGCGAGATACGCCGCTGCTCTACCACTTGACCTATCGTGACCTCGATCCACCCAGACACTAACTTTCCATCTCAACCCCACCTTTTGAATTTTCCCTCCTTTTTGCCATTTTTCAATTCGAATCCCGCTCGTGTCATTGACTTTTTTATCTCAACTAAAAACCTTAATTAATTGTAATGTATTAATTGGTCAAGCGGATCACGAAATTAGTGAAGTTAAAAAAATATGTTGGTTCTCGCTCTCTCGCTGGAATTTGTGTAAATAGTACATAAGAAGAGTAAACCTTTTAGTTGGCGGTTTGTAAGATGGTTAATAAATGTTAATTAAACGAATTTCTGTTACAGTTTCAAAGACGATAGAGGAGCTGAGGCTGGAGTGGAAAACTCATCAGCCTGTGATCATGGGAAAAGGGCTGAGGATGCCTCAGTTCGAAATTAAAAACATCGCAGCTTCAGACTGTCAAGAATCGTTCCAAATCGGTATTTATCCTTTCCTGTTTGTCGTAATCGGATAATCCTATGTTTGTAGATTTACCGAGAGGATATAATTGTTCAATCCGGATCGACGGGCTAACAGAACGACACATGTCAAAGGGGCTCTTTTTACCCCTCTGATCTCTCTAACAGTTTTGATACTTGATCCGTTGTTCTGCTTTGACGTCAGCTAGAGCAGAAAAAAACATTCTCAGTATTTAGCAAAGTAAAACGTTTATTAAAGAACACGTTATATTTTGTTTCCGCTCAAAGGGTCTTTTGAAGAAAAAAACATAATTTAAAAAAATGAATTTTCAGCAGTATTTTCTCTTAAAATTGCCAAAAATTGGTCAAATTGCTTCCCTTACTGCTTTACATAAAAAAAAACTAAAAATTTAAAATGTGTAAACTAAAAATGTCATTTCTACGTAAAACAAAAAAAAACATTAAAACTCAATTTCAATTTTAGTGGTTAAGTTGTTACAACGGGTGTGTTGATTGCTCCGCCCTGATATAAACTAGTTAACCAGATTGCCAGCCTGGGATTACGCTTGATATCCGTTAGGGGCAAACAACAGGTCAGAGGTTGAAAGCACTTAGCATCTAATCCTACTTGTGTTTTGGCCGGCAAAATGTGTCATCAAGAGCGATATTTGAGGCAATTTAAAACGAGGAAAAACGCAATCACTTTTTTTCACAAATTGGCATCGAATGAGAGAAAAACAACCAACGACGAAAATATCAGTAGAAATGATAAATGATGGAGTGAGTGTGGTGTTCAATACTTTTTAAAAGCATAGTTCCTACTCACAGTAAGTTGCTTTGAAACGATCCGGATTTCGAGCCTTTTAGCTCATCATCAGGTTGAAGGACTCCTACAACCACGTCTCTCGACATGAATTGCCAAAGTGAAACCGCTGATACCTCCGCCAACGCGTCGTTCCAATTATCAGCTGATTTTTTTTAATGACGCTCAATTTGAAGTGCGAAACGCGGAAATTATAACTCAAATAAATATTAGAATAATAAATACTTAATATTACTATAAATTACTATAAAAATAATAACAATTAAAATAATTAGTTTAATTATTTGGATGTTTGATATTATTTATGTACATATTTAAAATGGGAGGTCGATCAAAATCTGTTATGTTATTAATGCATTTATCACCTTGTTCAATTTTACATTTTTTAATTTCAAATTTCTCAAACCAATCTAGTTCTTTCCCTTTGTTGAAACTATGTAACACTCTTGTATTTAAATTTGAATTGAAATTATGTTTTGTTTCTTTTAGATGGTCCTTAAATTCCGAAAATTTGCTCGATTTAGGCAAGTGTTCTTTTACTCTTGTTTTTATTTCTCTACCGCTTTGTCATATATATTTAATATCACAATCATTACAATTGAGTTGGTATGATTGTATGATAATTTTATGATGGGAGAAAAGAAGATAGAAGAGGAGCGATCGTTCTTTTTGTCATAAAAGAAAACCTGAAGAGATATGGACGGTTGATGATATTTTTTTTGAATAAATAAAATATCAGTTGGAAATAAAATGTGGAATTTGGACTTTATGATGGGAGAAAAGAAGATGAAAGAGTAGCAATCTTTTTTTTTTGTCATAAAAGAAAACCTGAAGAGACATGGACGGTTGATGACACATTTGGCCGGCAAAATGTGTCATGAACAGAGATATTTGAGGCCATTTGAAACGAGGAAAAACGCAATCACTTTTTTTTATAAATTACCATCGAACGAAAAAAACAACCAACGACAAAAATATCAGGTGGAAATAAAATGTGGAATTTGGGCTTTATGATGGGGAAAAAGAAGATGGAAGAGGAGCAATCGTTCTTTTTGTCATGAAAGAAAACCTGCATAGACATGGACGGTTGATGATATTTTTTAAAATAAAAACAAAACATTATTGATAAAGACCAGTCGTTGTCATTATACTAATGTAATGATCGAGGTTGTGATCCAGGTTGGTGGGGGGGGGTTAGTCCGAAGTCACTCAAATAAAGTCGAATGTTTCCTAGAACTGAATTTGGATTTAGAAAAATCCCCAAACTTAGACCACAACCTTCATCATTACGTTAATATAAAACAAATATATTTGGATAATATTGAAAATAAACGTTGTACTATCGTATGGATTAATGATACTTTACTATTTATATAATTTTAATTTTTTATCAATTACTTAAATATTAACATGCTTAAAACATATCCATATCATTATGTCATTGTTCCTTAAGATAATAACTTTTATAGAGTTTTTAATTTGATAGGATGATAATTTTACTTAATTTAATGAATGACCTAATTTTACTTAAGACAAAATGAGGATTTTCTAGTTTGTTATCATTGTTTAACACTTTAAAAAATACGAAAAACTTTGTGTCGCATTTATATGCGTGAAGTTTTATTTTCTCAGTATCTTGGAAAAAACAAGACTTTTAGTGCCGGTAGAACTTGTATTTATAAAATCAAATTTGACATTAAAAACAAACAAGAAGCATTTCGTACAATACACTAGTGGAAAATATAAACGCACTCCCCTCAATTTAATATATTTAAGCTTATTCATAATATTCATACCAAAAATACGTTTGTTTGTAAAAATAAGACATTTAAGAAAAAAATGTTTATTACCTGATTGTTAAAAAACAATTATTGTGTAAATCATTTTAAAAAAATTCAAAAACAAATAATGTAAAAGAAAGCTTTTTTTGGTCCACTTTAATACCGAGTATTTCCACCTCTGGCACGAATCACGTCTGTTAAACGCCTTTGCATTCCTTGGAAATGATTTCTGGTAAAATCCTGAAGAATTCGTTCCCATTCGTAAAGAACAGCCGTTTCAAACTCTTCTAGGGTGTTAGAAACTGAGTTTTGCCGTTACTTGGGTGGTCCGTGGTCAGTTGGTCCCAAATGTGTTCGATTGGGTTTAAATCTGGACATCGAGGTGGACACTCATTTCTAACCTCATTCCCGTAGTCATCCACAATGCTGCTATGTGGCCTGGCATTATTAGCAAGGATTTCTCAGTAATGTTGCGAGCATGTTCTTCGATTATAGCTTGTAAGCACCTCCATGGAGTTAAAGATCTTCCCCGCACAATTCGGTGCGGGCGTCCAAATGTCACCCCAGAACATCAACGACCACCATGGGATGACACCTAAGGAACATGGGGCGTACCTTCCTGCTGAGCCCACTACTAATGTAGAAAGAAAATGGATTTAAATTGAAACTAAATAAATTGAGTGGTGCGTTAAATTTATCCATCAGTGTACTTTAAAATGTATGAAAAACGTTTTGTTGCGTATCTATCCGTGAAGTTTTATTTTCACAAAACCTTGAGGAAAATAAGACTTAGAAGGCTGTCAGAACTTCTACTTACAAATATCTGTGAAATTCAAATTTCACCTTAAAAACAAAAAACAAGAAGTTGGTAAAATACATTGATGGACAAAATAAACGCACCATCATTAAATTTAATGTACTTAGTTTATTCATATTTTGCATAAAACAAATATGCTTGGTTGTAAAAGTAAGACATCTACAAATAAAATATATATTACCTAATTCTGAAAAAAAGAAAAATATTCAGTAAAGATAAAAATAAACTAAAACTAAAAAGGTAAAACAATAACTTTTTCTTCTTAAGAGTTTATCGGATTTGTTTCATGACAAAACTGGAAATACTAGGAATTAAAGGGAAAAAAATAGTTTATTTTACATTTTTATTTTATTTGTTTATTATTTTTGTTTGTTCTTTACAGAATAATTGTTTGTGTTTAAATTAGGTAATAAACATTTTCTTTTTAAATGTCTTATTCCCTCAACCAAGCCTATTTTTATATGCAAAATATGAATAAACCTAAATACATTAAAATTTATGGGTGGTTCGTTAATTTTCTTTATCAGTGTATATTTCCTCGCGGAAACGTTTATGTTTATCATTAATTCAGGGTAAATAACATAAATTACCACCTAAATTCAATAAATAAATTATTCCATTTAGGAAGAAAGTAACCATTATTAATTAATGACCATTCTGTATATATTATTTTCAACCGTCGCGCATTGCTTCATGCATTTATGCATTTAACTAACATAGTAATGTGTCGTTTATTATTTGGCAGGTCGCTTGTTTTCAGTCCGAATAATAAAATCTCATTATCATCCATTTAGCATCCATCATGCTTTTATGTTGTCACATTATGCCATTAGACATGCTTTGATATTATGAGAGATAATATGACAGGGATTTTAAATTCCATTTCCACAAACGGTTTGATACATGTGTAATGATGCCGCTTTATAAAGTTGAAACATGGAATTAGTTTTGTCTCGTTTATTTACCTCGTCTTGTTGATTTTGTAATATGTATTTTTTACATAGTTTTACATAGTTATAGTAAACCAACTTAAAAAAGACAAGAAATTCATGACTTTTAATGAAAATTATTTAATTATGGCTTGAAAAAAAAAACCACCTGAGAATAGTTTATTACGTGATTAAGAGGAAAACTGGATAAAAAATTATTAGTTAAATTTTAATCTGTCACTAAATGATCACTAAAAAATTTATTTTTATTAAAACTCATGAATTGCTGATCTCGATTTATTTGGTGCACAGAAATAAGTATGATATAATTAATATAAAATAGGTGTATATAGTTTAAAATAAACAACAAAATATGTCAAGTGACCGGGTTTTTCTTTTCAAGTGTATAATTAAAAGGGATAATAAAATTAGTTCAATTTAAGTTAAAATGGATAAGAAAAAAAAGGCCAGCTTTCAACGTCTTTTACACGAGGATTTATACAGAACTTATTTATCAGGTAGTACAGAATAAACCCGATTGAAAAGTATTACATTACAATTTTTTTGAGAAAATCAAAGGAGATTTTACAAAAAATGTGGTACATAAATTGAAGAAACTTGGTTTTCAATTGAAAAACACGCGTGACATTTCTTCTTCAATTTTTTTATTT